GAGCTTGAGGGCCGTAACATGAACATCGACTTCTCCGGCAAGCGCCCCGAGCGCAGCGACAACCCTGGCGACCGCGCCAACGACCGCGCCCAGCGCCACGGTGACAGCCTCTCCCCCGAGAGCGACACCCTCTTCGTTGGCAACATCTCTTTCGAGATGGACCAGGACACCGTCCACGCCTTCTTCGCCACTGTTGCTGAGCCTACCAGCGTCCGCCTGCCCACCGACCCGTAAGTTCTATGGTTCTACCACATCCATGAACATGGTGCTAACTACCCCGCAGTGAGTCTGGCAACCTGAAGGGCTTCGGCTATGTCTCCTTCAGCTCGATTGATGACGCCAAGAAGGCTCTTTCCGAGCTCAACGGCCAGTACCTCGGTGAGGGCAGCTCCGGCCGCGCCGTCCGTCTGGACTACGCCGGTCAGCGCCCCCAGCGTGACGGCGGCGGCGGCCGTGGCGGATTCGGTGGTCGTGGTGGCGGCCGTGGCGGCCGCGGTGGCTTCGGTGACCGCGGAGGTCGTGGTGGCGGTCGCGGCGGCTTCGGCGGCCGTGGTGGTGGCCGTGGCGGTGGCCGCGGTGGCTTCTCCTCGACCAACCGTGGCGGCCTCGGTGACTTCAAGGGCACCAAGGTCACCTTCTAAGCATGATACCCCCCCCTTTCGTCGTTTATCGGACCTGATCTGAGGGCAAACTTGTACTGAGAGAGCGAGTGTGTGTGTGTGTGAGAGAGAGAGGAAGAGAGGCACACTGAGGGCTATGCGCTCCACCTGGAGCTGTGGGCTTTGATGGCTTTTATTTTGGGCACTCTCGGGACCCGTGGGCTCGTGGCATCATTTTTGAGGCGCTGCTCCGACTTGGCACTCGGATGGCAGCTTGAGACGCTTTTCTTCGAGCAATGAGAGACACGCACTTGACACTTCAATCAGAGGGCTCTTTTGGATCACACCGAGATACTACACAGTGGGCAGACGGCTTGGATCGAGCACGAATCGGTACGAAGCTTTCGTCGCCGCGATGACTTTTTTCTTCTGTCCTGCTTGCAGGAAAGCGGAAGAGATGTCGCGGTGGTTGGAAGTGGACCGGGTTTGTGCGATCACATTCATCTGTGGGCTTGTGGGCTTTGTGGGCTTCTGAGGGATAATCTGCGACGGCTTTGGCTGTCGGATGCAGTCTCTTCGGAGCTGTGTGTTCGCCGTGGGCTTTTTCACTATTTTGCCTTGCGACGACAATTGTCGAAAGAGTTGATCATGACCGGAGTAAGTATGCCTCCCCGAACCCCCCCCTTAGCCTGGGCTCTCGATGCGTGTATGGGTAGCCGGTAGACATGGGAAACGGCGTTTATGGAGTGTAAAAGAATCCAAAATGTTTGTACGATGACGAGACTGTGCCTCCAAAGCGTGATGTTATCGTAAAAGTGTGATGTATCCCGGGGTACGTTTGAGAGAATGATATCAAGGTGGTGTCTGTTGGCACGGGATCCAGGTACGTGAGGCTGAGCCCCATGATTGGATTCACGAGCTGATCAGTACCAGGAAGCGAGACATGGACACCCACAAACAAGGCCATGAGGGTGGGAGCAGGCTACGTTGTGTAACTACCCACCTGAGTAGGCAGGTCACGAGAGGTTTCGTTGGGGTAAGATGGAGCTGGCATGGTCGCACCAGACAAGACACACCCAACGATATTTTGGTATCTGATGACGGCCAGGCTGTGTCGAGGCTGAAGAGTCGCAGGCGGCGACGATATCCACTCTCTTTTTCCTGCTGGGATCTGATCTGATCTGATAAACAACCACGGCCGTGGCTAGAGCTGCAGGATGCATCAGGCTACTGTCGCCGATTATGATGCCAGGACCCATGTTGGGTTGGGCTTTGAGATGCGGCCGGTGTCGGATGGAAGGCGGTGAGGGGACGAGAGGTGCGCAGGCCAGCAGGCAAGTTGGCAAGCAGGCAAGCAGCAAGCAGCAAGCAGGCAACGACAGGGTGCTGGGGCTTGAGGGGCATAAGCAGCATAGCGCGTCTGCTGCGGGCTGGTCAGTGGCCAGTGGGCTCGCTGGCGGACTTGGTGGGGTATTGCGCAGCTGACGGGCCGCAATGGCTGGGTGCGTTGGACGCTTGGCCTCGAGACACCATGTGAGTGGGCAGCCAGGGATACATATACATGTATGCAACGCTCGCTGTGGAGGGAGGAAGTACCCCGCGTCTGACGGCGTCATGGAGCTGTCTAACTGACACTGTGAGTTCACCACGCAAATACATGGCACCACACAGTCACCGTCTCGTTGAAACAAACAGCTGACACTGTCGTAGCGTCGGAGTGTACCAGTCCGGTCAAGCCAGTCAGTATCTGGCAGCCCAGCACATCATCCGCCCCCTGCCCCCCCCCCCCCCCCCCCCCCCTTCCCAGGGGGGCGGCTGGCATCCACACACCCACCCGGTATCTTCTTAATTGGTCCCAGGGGGAGAGGGCTTACAAGAAAAAGCGAAACACCCGGAACTTCTGCGCTAAAAGGGTGCCTTGATTTGGATGTAAAGGATATGCCTTAT